CCTCGCTAGATCGACTCCGTTCCACAAACACGCGTTGACCCACCGCTGTCATCGTTTCCTTCTTCCACCACAACCAACACCTATCTCACCCCCTCCACTACTCCCCTTGTTCGGCTGGCCGCCCACATCGGGAACTCAGCTTCACTGTTCGTCTGCGACGGACTACTGTGGGTTGCACACAGCTTTGAAAGCAATCACCGCCCCCATTCCACACGCCCACCCCAACATCCCGGCGCATCTCTTCGAAGAGTTCGGTACATATCGTCTGGACAGCCCTACTCCTCCTCCTCCACCCACCTGACCGACCCGAGCGTCTTGGTCATTGCAAGTGCACCTTCCAAAGTCGCCGCCAGCGCCCATCACCCTCCAAGCACCGCCGCCACACGCCGTGGTGCGTCCATAGCAAACCCACCCAGGTGGCCATTCGGTTCGGCTTCGTTCCGAGCGGGGCTGGCTGTAAACAACCGATTCCCTCGTAGGCGCCCCCATCATAACCATCGCCGGTCGAACGCACATTCGATTGAATCGTATATGACTGTGTCGTTGTCTGCTTGGTACGTGCGTGGAGCGGGAACCTGAGGTGGAGAGAGTGTAACAGCTGCTGCCGAAAGTGCCAAAGTCTGCAGAGTTGTGATACAAGTTCCCCAGGCTGCGCAGGCTGACTATCAGACAAAGAAATCGAACTAGTTTCCCTGTAAACCCATCCTCCCCTTGGAACGTGATCAACCCAGCTACACCGCTAGACGGCCCTCTTGAGCGTGTTCACAAACCTCTCTCCGCAAAGAGCCTCACTAAACTCAGTCAAGGGGGTAGTGCAAAGTCAGTCTCGACGCATACGCTCACCAGTGCTGGCTCACCAATCTGCCCTCGAACCTTTGCGTACATCGCGCCCCCTGCATCTGGTGCGTGCAGACGACAATCCGTGACCAGCGTGTCATCAAGCCGCGCCACACCTTGGTCGCCGCCCCTCGCCCCTCGGCCCCCTCTTCTTCCATTCCACGCATCGTTCCTCAAGTTCTCTCTCATCAACGAGCGCCTCTCCCTTGCTTTCTCATCCACGAGCGCGACCGGCTCACCTCCCTCCCTCCCTCATCTCGCCACACCTCCATCTCCAACCGGTCGCTCTCAGCGTAGGCTCATCCTCATTGACGCCGCTCGGCCTGCGCGCGCCACCAGCCTCATATCTACCGCCCTGCTCCACGCACACCACGCGCATCACGTACTCCACGTACTCCACTGTGCCGTGTAAGCCCCATTTCTTGCGCCCCCAGTGCCTCACTCTATCAATTGGCGCAATGGCAGAATACACTGCCGACACGCCCTTTCCTGGTGATTACCAACCGGGGCAGGTGGATACATCGTCCGGATTCCTACACGCGTTCGAGCCACAACCTGGGGGAGGATTACACTTCTCTCCCGCGGGCAGTGATCAATCGCTCAACAATCCTAGCGCCGCAGTCAACGTCGATCATCGCCCCACGAGCAGCAGCAGCGGGCCTGTCGGAGACGTGCATATGAGCGGACCCCCTGGCTCGGCGCACGGACGCTTCCCTGGGCATCAACACACTCCCAGCGGCCAGAGTCAGAGTGGCCACAGCCATTCTTTCTCAACTGCATCTCTTCCATCTCTGTCGTCTTCAACTGGCTTCTCAATCGCCAGTCATCCCGAACCACCGCCCCCGGGCATGTACGTTGCGCCTGGCCTCACGCCAAACCCAGAGTACGGCCCGCCTCCCACGCACATGTTCCCTCCCGACACCAAACCCATGCTCGGCACGCCGGGGATGCCACCTCCGCACCCAGGTATGGCTCTCACCCCCAATATCGGTCTGGGCGTGGGCATTGGACTGCCCCCCACTCCCATGTCAGCGACACTTCAGCCAGCTCTGATGGGACGGTCGCCAGTCGGCCCTCCTTCAATGATCATGCCAGTGAGTAGCAGGACCACCGCTTTGCCGGTGGCGCCACGCACGGGCGTGGGGTACGCTTGTGTATGCCTGTTATCCTAAATTCCTAACGCGGCAGAATCAGGGGTATCCTCCAACCATGGGCAAATCTCCACATGATCGTCGCAACGTCCCCCGTCCAAGCCCTTATCATCTTCAGAGCTCTCGATCCACCTCGCTCTCTCTCAAGTGAGTTCGACTCCTAGTCCATTTCATACGCTCCTCACCAATCATTACTATATTTACTGACACGTCTCCCTCCATCACAGATCGGAAGATGAGGACTTTATGCTGTACGCCGCTCCCGGTCAACCAAGTTATCCCTCACCGTGGCCCGGCGGAATGATTGGCGACATGAATCAGATGACCTTGGAGCAACATCGCCGGTACGTGACGCTCTCTCCGCCGCATTCTCTTGACGTGGCCCCATCCACCCATACCACAGCAAGCGCGGCGGCAACCGAGGTGCTTTCGGCTGATTTCCTCAGGTCCAGCTCAACTCCGTTTGACCCTCAAACCGGGCAGCCCATTCCACGCACCCGCGCGCGTTCCTTTTCGTTGGGCAAGAGCTCAAACAGCCTCGATTTTCTGGAGCAAGATCTAGACCTCGGTGGTCCCGCAGCAGAGCGCGAAACCGCCATCCGGGCAGACCTTGCAAACAAGGCAGAGCAGGTCCGAGCTCTGAGCCCGTGCCAGCATGGTAAGGCCAGGGCTGTGTGGGCGAAACGCTGGTACGTTGTGATTTTTGTGTTTCGGATCCAAATCTCTAGTGGATCCCGCCCCGCGGGAGCTCCGCTAACGCGCTTGCAGGCTCAAGTTGAGCTACACTCCAGTCAACGGGTTTACTGTTCCTCGTCAAGGGCTGTATCACTCCTACACCATGTCGTGTAACGACTTTGGTCTGCGGCCCATCAATTCGGCATCGTTCGGGAAGGTTGTGCGCTCGACGTTCCTGGGAATACGAACCCGTCGTCTGGGGGTTCGCGGTAACAGGTGGGTATTGTGCCTCGTCGTGGAACCCGCGGCGATGACGAGTTTGCTGACTGGGCTAGCAAGTACCACTATGTCTCACTGCGGCCCGCCATCTCGACCGAGGCCCACCGTCTCAACGCATACGGCGACTCGAGCGGTCAGCTGCATATTGCGCCTCAAGACGGCGATTTCAGCATGGAAGACCACGGTGGGGACATCATGACAGAGGATGACACGGAGGAGGAAGAGGACGACGACCTGGCGGAACTATCCGAAGGGTGAGGCATCTACCCCTGGCAGCGCCACATCCAGACCACAAAGCTAACTTATCCACAGCATGACGTACTCCGCCCACCCCTTTCCTCATGTCCAACCGAGTGGCCCGGGGGGTCGCTCTCGGTCTGGCTCACAGGATGAGCATCTCGTAATCCGCTCGGCGCGCCCTGCCCACATGCCACACTATGTCACACCCACCGTGTCGGGTGTTTCATCGGGGGCATCCACCGCCGTCCGCCTCTCGTCACCAGGCGCCCCTCGACCAGCGCCTCCCTTTCCTGCCCTCTCTGCTGGCGTCGACTCCGCAACCGCCGCGTTTTGGCAGTCATTTTGTGCTGCCCAGGAGCAGCTGGGACGGTTTGTGACGGAGCTCGACCTTGACTCCTTCCAACAGAACGTATGTGGCGCCGTACATCTACTCTCTGACACTGCAGTACCGCAATTTCTGGGAGTCACAATCGCCCGAAACGCTCCAGTTATGTTCTCAGCCGCCTCTCGCATCTATGCTCGTGGATGGGATGGCAATGTCGTATGACGTAAGAAGCACGGCTCATAGTTGCGCTGACATTTTAGCACATTATTCTGTCACTTGTGGACAAGATTCTTGCCCCGATTCCGCCCAACGCCCATGCCGCCCTCGGAATGATGGCTGTAAATTTTGACAAAATGACCGCCGACATTCTTGGGGGCCTAGCGACGGAAGTGTCGCGCCCAATTATTGAGCTGAGCAGCCAAGTTGGCCAGCTGTTTGCTCGCTTCCTTGACCTCCATCAAATCACCACAGCCATTGGTCCTATCCTGGCCGAGCCTGAGCAGCTGTCAAACATGCGCAACTCGTGGCGGATGCTGGATACCAATTTCGTCATTCGCCAGTGCATGATGGCATGCGACTGCTCTGAGGAGCTGCTCGAGCCCGCTCTTGCAGCTTTTGGCAATTGGCTTCATGAAGTGGGCGCTAACATGGCTGCGTACCCAGTGGAGCAGCTCGCCATGTGTGTTGATGGGGCGGTGGGGCAAGCTGAAGGTCTCTTGATGGGATCCAACATCCGCGCCATTATTCCCAAGGCGTCCTACCTCACCTCCCAGGTGATGCGTCTGCTGGTGTGTTTGAATTTCATCCATCATGCTGCTAAACGCTGACACTCAGACGCTCCGTTCAGATGTATCCTTTGGCTGGTTTCAGCTGATCAAGACGTGGATCGACGACTACGTGACGATTTCGTGTATGCGGCGGGCCGCATTCGCTCGTCCTAGTCCCAACCTCCTCGGTTCCGGCACCTTACAGCCCAAAGACCTTCAGAGTCATCACAATCCGCCTCTGGCAATCGACACAGCTTCGGCGACATACAGCACAGTCGCCCTTGATCAGAGCGCCATCACCCCGCGCCCAGCCTTTACTGCTTCTGGCGCGGCGACCCAGGCTACCGGACCTGGAGTCGGAGGCATCGCCGGCACCTCGATCACGGGCATGGCGGGGGCTGCAGGCGGCCCCTCGACCTTTATGTGAACATACACGGATTGACCCCCTACCCTGCCCCTTGTCCCAGTCTCTGCAAGCATAGTAATTGTTGGGGCCGATCCGAAGCAAAACGGCGCGGAGCAGCCAAGCCCTCCAGTCGGTGTATCGATATCCTCTCCCATTTTCGTATCCGGGGCACCGCCAGCGCTGCGCGCGTGGGTAACCCGGCCTTTGGCGCAGTCTAGTTAACGACCCATGACGGCCATGTCACGTAGCGCGGGCCACCGCATCTGTATAATTCAAAATGTATATTGTGCGGCGCTCCTGGGAAATCTGGCGAGAGGCAGGGCGGCACTCTCCGGCCGAAGTAGATCAAAGTGAGATATCGGTGTTGTATCGAAGATATTCGGCTACCGATTACAAGGTCCTCAGTTCCATCCGCCACCTTTGTTTGCCACAGCCGATTTTCCTTATTCCCAGCTGAAAGCAGTGGAAGCAACAGCACAGTCACAATAGCGTTTACGATTTAAGGAGGAGGATGGGCTGGTGTCTCAGCGACGATCCGAATGAGACCCGTTGGACGTTGAAGTATGGCCATGGGCGTCGACAAGGATCGACCCCGCTGGTGGATCGGAGCCTCTTTCGGATGGGAATTTGTGGTGTTCCCGACTTTGACTTGACACTGCACGCAGAAACAATGGGCTCGGCGCCGTCAGTTCCATTCGAGTGCACGGGGATTGCGAAGGCTGAGCAGAACCCGGCACTAGAACAAGTCGGCTTGAGACGTTCCATGTTCTTCCTCTATGCGCCCACCGGTGTCCTCCCACCCCGATATATTTGGCGCGTTGAACGAAGACGTGCGACGTTTTCACTGCGCCTCACACGTGGACAGTGGCGAGCGCGCTTCACACAGAGACGTATGCCCGACCGAGGCGGCCGCACCCTGTCCCGATGGTTCTGTCCATACCTCGCACATCTCAGTCCATCCAGTGTGTCCCGCTCTGAGTCGCTTGCTTCAGCTGTAGCTTCGGTCCAGTGGAGCTGGTGGTGGCCAGATTCGACGTGCGCCGCCACCCGCCACAGGGTTGGTCAGGGCTGTTTCATCATCTCCGACGGCGCCAGTGCGTGATCAAGTCTGGACTCGACGCGGCGGGGGGCAGACGCATCACCGAAAATGGAGGGGAGGCGTGGGAGCGTCGGCCACGACGTTGGGTGTGCGGTGAAGTCTTAGCCTTGATGCATCCTGCAGGACGGTGGCGGGTGGCGCACACCCGGCCTGCAGGGCATTGATCCCGGTTGCCATGGTGATCATTCCAGCGGCGTAGGCGTCAGCAAGCATGGTCGAGAGCACGTGACTTGGGCACTCCGGAAATACGGAAGTAAGTGGAATTAAAGCCACGCGGAAGCCACGCGCGCCACACCGGCGTTTTCGCTCGGCTGGACGGACTGTGCTGAGATTTCCGAGGCCTCTCTTTGCTTGTCCTTGCTCGCGACGACTGGATCCTCGCTCGCCGTCTCCTCCGCCCAGCTCGCAGCTCGCACCCCACTCACCAAAAATGCTCAGGTCCCGTCTCCAGTCCGGTATCGCCGCCGCCGCGCGCACCGAGCTCCGTGGTGCGTACGCCTCGCCCTCCACCGACTCGCCGAACGTGCTGTCCATGATCCCGGTCCGGGCGCATAGACTTCGGCGAAACGCGGTGGAGGTCGTCAAAAGTTGCATCGCACGGGCTTGAGCTGACTTCAGCCGCGCGCCCGCTCGCTGCCTCGCTCCAGGCCAAGGTCGCCGCGCGCGCGTACACCCGCCCGTCGGTCGCGCGTGCTGCCATGCTTACCCCCATGAGTGAGTCTCTCAGTCAGGTCGACAGCGGCATAATCCGGATTATCGGGTTGGTTGGGGATTGGTGGCCACCGAGATGATGCCCTGCGATGTGCCGCTCAATGGCAACGCGGCGGATAGATGGCAGAGCGTATACTGTGTGGTCGTCATCTGCATCAGCAACGCTCGCCACAGCGCTGGGCTGCGTTCCAATTCTCCATCCTGCCGCTCGTCGCACCGCCAGTATCGCCGCCGCAGTGCTAACAGCAGCCTTCGGAGCCGTCCGCAACTACGCGGCTGAGGCTGGCGGCCGCTTCTCGCGCGCCAAGCCCCACTTCAACATCGGCACCATTGGCCACGTTGACCACGGCAAGACCACCCTTACTGCTGCCATCACCAAGCACCTCTCGGAGAAGGGCGGTGGCAAGTTCATGGACTACTCGCAGATTGACAAGGCGCCCGAAGAGAAGGCGCGTGGTATCACCATCTCGACCGCGCACGTCGAATACGAGACGGACAAGCGCCACTACGCCCACATTGACTGCCCGGGCCACGCCGACTACATCAAGAACATGATTACCGGTGCGGCGCAGCTCGACGGCGCCATCATTGTGGTCTCGGCTACCGACGGCCAGATGCCCCAGACCCGTGAGCACCTGCTCCTCGCCCGCCAGGTCGGCATCAAGAAGCTCCTTGTCTTCATCAACAAGGTCGACCAGGTCGACGACCCGGAGATGCTTGAGCTTGTCGACATGGAGATGCGTGACCTCCTCTCCGAGTACCAGTTCGACGGCGAGAACACCCCCATCATCATGGGCACTGCCCTCGCCGCCCTCGAGGGCCGTGACCCCGAGCGTGGCGCCAACAAGATCCAGGAGCTCATGGACGCCGCCGACACCTGGCTCGACCTCCCCGAGCGTGACCTCGACAAGCCCTTCATGATGTACGTCGAGGACGTCTTCTCAATCTCGGGCCGTGGCACCGTCGCCACCGGCAAGGTCGAGCGTGGCACCATCACCAAGGGTTCCGAGATTGAGATTGTCGGCATGGGCTCCAACCTCAAGACTACCCTTACCGGCATTGAGATGTTCCACAAGGAGCTCGACCGTGGTGAGGCCGGTGACAACATGGGCGCTCTCCTCCGTGGCGTCAAGCGTGAGCAGGTCCGCCGCGGCATGGTCCTCGCCGCCCCCGGCACTGTCAAGAGCATCAAGAAGTTCAAGTGCCAGCTCTACATTCTCTCCAAGGAGGAGGGTGGCCGCCTGACCCCCTTCATGGACAACTACCGCCCCCAGCTCTTCATCCGCACCATCGACGTCACCTGCGCTCTCCACTTCCCCGAGGGCACTGAGAACGCGCACGAGAAGCTTGTTATGCCCGGTGACAACGTCGAAATGGTCGGTGAGCTGATCCACGACATCGCCCTCGAGGCCGGCTCGCGCTTCACCCTCCGTGAGGGTGGCCGCACCGTCGGCACCGGTATTGTCTCCGAGGTGTACTAAACCCCTCGACGGGACTGTGACAAGAGCTAGCTAGATAGAGGTGTACCACTACTCAATATGCATCACGCCACTCATTACGTGTTGGCCAACGGCGATGGGCGATGTGTGGGGCGACGACTGCGACGTCTACTGCCGGAGGTGTGCACTCTGATATATCTCAGGCGTTGCGAATATAATATATAGCATCTACGTTCTCTACGCGAGCGCATCCCCAAGGTCGGCCAAACTGACTCGAGTCTCCTCCCACTTGGCGACCTCCTGCACGAGCTTGGCCTCCCAGCGTGACACGAAGCTTTCCGCAACCGCACGCGTCTGGGGCTCCCCTCCAGCGCGCTCTAGGCGTGTAGCGAAAGCAGAGGCGAGCGCCCGGCCCCTTGCATTAAGCGCCTCCACTTCCGCATTGATCTCGCCAGAATCCTGTCCGGGATGAAGCGAAGCCACGGCATCGTCGAGTGCGCTCACTAGCGCGCCGCCAGCAGCAACGAGGTCCGAGTAGGACTCTTCCGGCGACAACACAAGGAGTGGGAGAAAACGTGGGAGAGAGGCATGTAGAACCTGGTGCAAACCCAGCACAGACTTGGCCTGCCGTTAGCACTCCTCACAATCTCGACTCACAGCCTCAGCCCGCTTCCGCTCGCTGGGAGAGAGTTTTCCCATCGATGCTTCAAGGATCCCAAATTCGTCATCCAAACCCACGTCGCCGTCAAAGTCCGCATCGTCCTCCTCGCTGTCGTCTTCGAGTAGCTCTTTGAACTCGTCCCACGCGTCCCGCATTGTTCCCTTCTGGCCCTCCCAAGCCTTCGCCACCGCTTCTCCCTCAGTGCGCGGGAGACTCGTAGCGAACCTGTCGATCGCGGCATGCACGAGGCCCGTGTGGGCAAGGTAGGGGCTTTGGTCGGTCTCCCTGCCTTCCCTCTTGACGGAGCCACTCTTCGCCGCATCCTCCAGCACGGCGAGGAAGGCCTCAGCGGCCTCCCCGATCCCCGTAACGCCCCCCCGCCAAGCATCAACCAACGCACTCCGCCCAGCATTGGGCGGCGCCGCGCCAGCCAACGCAAGCACGCACGACACAGCGCGCGCGACCTGGTCCTCGAGCTTGTCGGCATAGGGCTTGATGGCGGCGGGCGAGAGAGGCGGCTTGAATGCCAGCGCGAGGGTTGTAGTCGTCGTCTTAAGCTGCGTCAGGAGTGCAGCAAGGATGTCCGCCAGCCCATCCGGCGTCATGGGCACCGGGCCCGCCGCAACAGACGGACCGGACGGGGGTACAAGCCGCCCAAGCCCGCGCGTGCTCGCCCCCACCTTGCGCCGCGCCTCCGTAAGTGCTGCAGTTAGCGGGGCATCTATGCTGTAGTACTTTGTACAGCTGTCGTCAGCTTGTTGTTTTGAGCTGTAAGGCTCACCGTCGTTGCTCATCGCGCTCGCCGCAGTGGGAGTTGGAAAAAGTTGAAGTTGAGAAGTGGAGGTTGATTTGCCACTCAAACACCTTCAATTACGGACCCCAAGGGGGATTAGAACCAGGTCAATTGATTTCGCCTAATGTCAATTGCGTGTTTGGTTGACGCGACTGCCCTCGCGTGCCTCGTTCATCGCGCTCCATCACAACCTTCCCCCTCGCCATCCGTCACTCTCATCTCATCTCTCTCATCTCTTCCATTATCCCCCCACCGCCGGCTCCCACGGCATGGGACACGCACAGTAATGGAGCGTAAGTCGTGATGTAGACACAGCTGACGCGCATAGCTCGCCCAAGCAGCGCGTCTCACACGTCCGCGGCCGATATTGGGGATCTCCTCGACGGCCTCGGTGCCGATGATTTCAACGACGACTTTGACGACGACTTCATCGACCCACCATCCTCCCACCGCCAAACACTGTTTCCATCACCCCTTCCGCCACCACCACTACGACCACCTCATCCTCCCGAAGATGATGACTTCTATGAGCCTCCGGCCCCCACGCCCGCGCACATCCCTGAAATCGTCTCGTTCGCTACTGGGCGAGGGCGGCAACTTGCCCGACCCAGTGAAGTGGCGATGAACCGCGCACTCAAGCTCGTACGCGCAGCAGAGCGTGACGCCGAGCTCGAAGACGAGCCCAATAAGCGGCCGCGCACCGAGTCGCCCAAGCCGATCCCTCATCTTTCGCAGCTTCCACCATCATCTGTACCGGAAAGTCCCTTGGTAGGCCGCGGATTTGGCCTGGCGAGTGGTCGTCCTGCGCCGCCTCAGAATGAGGCATCACGCGCGCGGGCCCTCGCCCTCTTTGGAGAGAACACACCACTCAAGTCTGGTCAGACTGTATCCCAGCTTGACTCCCGTTCGGACGCAGCTCCACCGCCGGCAGATCCGGGGTCCTACGCTCTCTCTTTGCTCGGGGAAGGTACACCGGTGAAGCAACGGGTGTCGGTGCCCGGGTTTCAGCTTGGGACGGGATACAGTGCACCACCTCCAGCTGGCCCAACCGCCCCCGCGCTCGCTTTGTTCGGAGAAGAAACGCCCATCAAGCAGACCTCGTCCGGTTTCCAGCTTGGCAGCGGTTCCAGTGCGCCCCAAACCTCGGCTGGGGCACGAGCGCGCGCCCTCGCCCTCTTTGGCGAGAATGCCGGATCATCCACTGGCGCCAGCCTGGGGTTCTCGACGGGGTCTGGAAAGCCAACGCAAGCGCCCAAGCCGGAGAGCCTGGCGTTCGCCATGGCATTGATGGCTGACGATCCTCCGACTTCCACTGTCGTGCCGGAGAGTGCAGCTACGCCTCAGAGGCCGTCGACGCCCGCGTTCTCAGCGCCGCGTTACACGACCAGCTTCAGCGCACCTATGCGCACACCGTCAAGAGTGCCATTAGCTGGGCTTGCAACTCCTAGATCCACATCCAAGCTCTCCAACCGCATCAACATTCAAACACCCGGCTCAACACCGCGCCGGATCGGCCTCGGCGCAACCTTTGGGCACGCAAGAACAAAGCCCAAGAACGGGTTCATCACGCCCTTTAAGCGCGGAGCAAAGACTGTGCCGGGGCCCTTGATGCTGCGTGCCCCGCTCTCGGTACACACTCCCTCCAGACCGCCAAGGACCCCGAACATCTACAAGTCGGTCTTTGATCTCACCCGTGCGTCCCCTTGCTGTACCCGCTGACCCACGCAGCACCGCCGCATCGCAAAGGAATGCGCGAGTCATTCCTTTACCCTGGATTCTACAAGCCGGCAGAGCTCGCCGAGTTCGGCCTGTGAGTTGGAGATGGTGGGAGGAGCTTATGTCAGACCGGACGAGATCTGGACACTGAACCTCACTAACGCCGTGTACTACCAGTTCATCGGCGAAGATGCGAGTGTGCTCGGCACGGTGCAAGCTCTCGAGCAGCTGAAGCTTGTGGGCTGCGAGCTTGCTACGCAGAAGTGGGTCGACAATCATTGGCGCCTCATCCTTTGGAAGATTGCTGGGCAGGTAATGGCACAACCCAAGCTCTTCGACCAGAAATGGAATTGGTACGAGGTGCTGTGCCAGCTGAGGTATCGGTACGTGTCGATCGCTGAGGTCAGCCTTACACCAGATATGAGCGCGAGTATGGAGCGGCGCAGCGGCCTATTGTCCGTCGAATCCAGGAGCACGACTCGTCGCCGAGCTTGCCCATGATCCTGTGCGTCGCTGCCATCCACCGACCGGAACCCGTGTCGGATGAGGGCGATGAAGCTGTCGCGCAGAAGCCGCATCTCGACTTGACCGATGGGTGGTATGTCGTGCGCGCTTTGCTAGATGACTGCCTCACGCGGGCACTTGACAAAGGCAAGATCCGCGTGGGGCGCAAGCTTGGTCTCTCTGGTGCGAGGGTGAGTCGACCCCATGTATTATCAGCTCACTCCAGCTCGAGTCTGGTGCTGACGGCGCCGACGTGCTTGAAGCGTACAACAAATCGCATCTTGTGCTTTCCGGCAACTCCACACACCTGGCCAAATGGGATGCCCGACTGGGTCTGCAGCGCCTGCCATTTGTGGCCGGTCTGTCCAGCTTGTCCGTCGATGGCGGGCTTATCGTGTTAATGGACATTGTCCTTGACCGCGTTTATCCCGTCGCCTACATGAACAGCGATCGAGCGTCGCGTGAGCCGCCGTGGAGCGAAGATGAAGAGTTGCAGCGCTCTGACGCCTGGAGGGTGAGTTGTTATAATACCTCAGCAACCTGACAGCAGGACAAGTATGAGACTGAAAGAACGCGATTACGGGAGGAGATGCAGCGCAGCCTGGAGAAGGTCCAAGAGGTTGCCTCGATCCTTGCATCGCACGCCGAGGATGTGGGTACAATACCGCCCAGCTCCCCGCCAGACGTAGAAGCGGACTACGATGCGCTCATGGCGACCAGCAACATCATGGGATTCGTGCGAGTGCTACCGTCCACCAAAATCGTCCATCTCGCGGCATACGCGCGGCAGCGAGCTCTGGCTGAGATCGATGCTGGCCGTGCGGAGATTGAGGCCCAGCTTTCAGCTGCGTGCCCGCCACGCTCGACTCGCAGCTTTTTGATGGCTCGCGTGCGGGACGGCCGTGAGGGGAACAAGGAGCAAGCGCGCACAGGGATGCTCAATGTGTGGGATGTCAAGGAGCTAGGGAGTGAGCTCAAGGAGGGGCAACGATATCTTGTGAGTTGTTATGGGCTGCGTGCGTAACGCCATTAGCTAACAGCAGGTGTCGAATCTCATCCCGGGCCGCATGGGGGACTGGGCGCCGCCAAAGGCGGGAAAGATTCGCGAAGTGTACCTCCACACGCGCCGTGACTCTCGGTGGCAGCCTGTCAGCAGCAAGTAGGGGACCTGGGGTTGGGGTTTGGAGACATTGTAAGAGCGACAGAGGGAGAGATGGCCCACGATGACGATACGAGAGGGTAGCCATGTTGTGCATTGGGTATGCATGTGTAGATTCTAGCAAGGATAGAGGAGAGGTTAGCCTGACACACACGCGCCACAAGGCTATCAAGTATAGCAGGTGAGTGAGGAATGCCCATGGGGGACCATGTGACTTGACTTGACGAAAGCCTCGGGGTTCGGAGTCGTCGGGCAATGGATGGGGCGTCGGAGGCATGGACAAGCATAAGGCCAAGACTATGGCGCGAGAGGCGGGGGGAGGAGAGTGAGTGAGGACTTGGGGGGCTGGTAAGGAGATTAGGAAGGATGACTAAGGATGATGCATGATGGAGACGGCAGTGTCACTACAGGACAAGAGGGAGTGAGAGAGTAATGGAGTGAAGGGTGCGAAGAGTGCCAAGGGAGGTTATACAGTATGAAGGAGAGGAGAGGAGGGGAGAGGAGAGAAAGAAAAACAGACAGAGAGAGAAGAGAGAAGAGAGAGAGAGAAACGGAGAGCGAGAGAGAAACGGAGAGAGCGCCAAGATAATCAAGCAGGATAGCAAGAGGGACCGAATGATCCATTAGCCATGAGAGGGGCAGGAGAGCGAGAACAAGAGCAAGAGAGCCATGAACCAAGGAATGTTGATTTTATAAACTATGACGTATGATGCAAGTGAGGGTGAGCCGCTTCGACGGCCAATATAAGGACCAGAATTATACAGGCCAACTCGTGGACCTTGGACTCTTAGTACGGAACTCTGCAGAAAAGTAGTACGTACGTACGGAACCGTTAGGATAGTGTCAGCTTGTCAGCTTGTCAGCTTGTTAGCTTGTCAGCTTGTCCGCTTGCCCGCTTGTCAGCTTGTTAGCTTGTTAGGCAAAATGCAACGAATTGGAAGGGTGCATGATGAGACCATTATTCTTAGTGCTTTGCCGTATGGCCGGCTGTTCCCTGCAACCCCCGGCCTTCGATCTCAGGCCTGAGGCCTCTGAAGCTTTGCGATCTTGCGAGCTGCGAGCTGCGAGCTGCGGGCACCTCTAAAAGAAGGACAGGGTAGGCCGGGTGTCAGTGTCGTCAGCGGCTGAGGTTTGAGGCGGCAAGGGCGAGAGAAGATGCATGCACATTGTACAAACTTTTCTCCGTCCGGTGCTGCGGGTGCGTGCGCGGTGCTGGTGCTTATGGCGATAGGATGGACTGCTGACTGATGACTGGAGTAAATCCGAGTAATGTCTGATCGCCAGAGTTGGATTAAAGAGTTGTTTCACCGTGGCTTTAGTGTACTGCGTCTCGGTCTCGGAATGAAACAATGGTGTTGGACTGCGGGTAGTCGTTGGCGGCTCAGCGGCTTAGTTGCATAGCTGGGCGCTGGCTACTGGCTCGCTGGCGACTGGCTACTGGCTACTGGTGGATGGCGGATGGTAGGTTTGGCTCATGTGACGCCAGCAATAGAAGGAGTAAGGGGGGGGGGCGGCATTCCAACGGTGGGCTAGGCTCTTGGACACTCTTGTCCGTGTCCCTGGTACAGTCACCCTGGGTGCTGGGTGGGACAAGACTTGAGCCAAACAGGCTCCGGCGCGGGGTTTCTTAGTTGAACCCCCCTCC